AAAACCCAACAAGTCTTGCAGCACAGGGAAGTTCCTGAGAGCATAAGATATGCCAATATTTAAATAGAATAATCTTTAATGGCCTAGCTTGCTTCAGGCAAACTCACAGAAAGGCCAGTGTAGGCTGCAGCCATTTAAAGGCTTACAACAGAAGCGTGCAAAGTTCTGTTAAAAACAGCCTTTACAAAAACTCCTAGCATAGTATTTCAAAATTGGTTGAGAAGTCATCTTACGAATTTGGTTCTGAAAAATAATTACTAAGGTGATACTTTTAAGGTCATACGTTATTGCAGCTGTGCATATACACATTCCCTGTCTCCTGGTGCCTAACACCACATGGCCCTTAGTAAACAGCTTTTTTTTTTCTTAGGACAACACTCTCATTCTGCTATAACTTGCACTAGAGCATAACATGCATTATGATGATTAGGACATCAAAATGTCCATAGAATCTCCCGCTTTATAGAAAAAGAAAAAGAAAAAGAAAAAGAAAAAGAAAAAGAAAAAGAAAAAGAAAAAGAAAAAGAAAAAGAAAAAGAAAAAGAAAAAGAAAAAGAAAAAGAAAAAGAAAAAGAAAAAGAAAAAGAAAAAGAAAAAGAAAAAGAAAAAGAAAAAGAAAAAGAAAAAGAAGTGCTTCTTAGAACAGAAATGTTTGAAAACTCTTGACTGAATCCATCGTGTCCCAGGGAGAATCTGTCTATATCTGTATCAAACCTGGTGATATTCATCTAAACTGTTCTTAAAAACTTCACACAATGGAAACTCCAAAACTTTGCCAGAACCATAATTACCTGAAGGCTTAATTCTCCTGAAAAATAAAAATACTGGCCCAGCTGTATTTTGCTCTATTTAAGCGCACACCTTTTTAGATTATCCACCAATTGCCAAACTCCAGAAATCGCACTTCTCTGTTTCATGAGGAAGGTCACAAATAAAACTTGCTAGCAAAAATCTGGCAGTAAAATACAGTTCTAAATATATTATAGACAAACCCAGCATTGACTCCCTTTTCCTAGCTCACAAGCCTCTTTCCTACTGCAAATCTCAATCCCGTTTCCGAAGCAAACAGGACATCTCTACCACTCCTAAGCTCCAGAAAGAGGGAAGTATTTGTTTTTAGAAGGTATTTTGTGAAAGAAACTGTCTTTTCCAAAAAAATAGTTACAATGAAATCAACAGAACACCTGCAACTTCCGACCAGGTTCTTAGAACATTGGAACATTCAAAATTCAAGTGTTAATAAATAAATACTTATATCCTGATTGCGACACTACATAGAATTGCTTTTGTCTTGGATTCATAAGCAACATTTACTGTTCCTTTCATGAGTGGAAGGAATGGCAACTTTTCTCTTCAGAATGCACCTACTGTTAGAGGTCTGCAGTGACCTCATTAAAAATTATTTCTGTAGCCACCAGGCTGTTTGCTTTTGAGTTACTAGTGGTTTCTCACGGAGCAGTAAGAACTCAAAATAGCTTAGCATGGGCCAAGCTCAGGCCACTGCCACCCATTTTTCTGTAGTTAATGCCTATCAAAGGGCTTCCTGTTGCTCTTACTAGGTTCCCTCTTTAACTTATCTTCCATGTCCTGATTGACAGTGGAATTAACTTGAGTCAGCACTGGCTTTCTCTGACTTATACACAATGCCTAGGTCAGTCCCTGGCCTCATTAGGCCTGAACAAACTATTGCAACCACCGTCCCTCCTGGCTGATGAGTGCTTGGGACAAAGGGTTGGCTCCTCCAGAGAGGACTTTGCTCACAGAAGGAGCAAGAATTTAAGTCTCAAAAAGCCTTAGCAAGCAGAACTTTCTTGTTGAGTAAAGCTTCAGCTGAGAGCCTTCATTCCAAAAGCGAAACTCAACTATCTGTTATAAACTTTGTTAATAATAAGTATGCAACAGAACACTTTTTTTTTTTTATATATACACTAAAATAGCCCAGAAGAGCACAGGCAACGAACTATTCATTTAGCCATGGCTGAATCATCAAGAAACATGCACTGAGATGTCACTGTGTGTTGTGTAAATCACTGTTGGTGCTGCAAATGTACCTGAACTAATGTGAGCGCGCAGGTAAACACCTCTGTACAGCTGTACTGGTTTTGTTCAAACTTGTGTATTTGCTCCCTGCATTACCATGACAAAGATTTAGCATAAAGTACCGAACGGATTATGCGTATAGTCTATGTTGTAGCATCTTCCTGGATATTGCCTTCAGCTAGCTGAAGGTACAGCTGTTATTGTTGCAGCCACACCTTCTGGCTTTGGGGTACGCATACGGCGCAGCACCAAACTATATGTTTAGATCATCGCCACAATGCAGTGATGATTAATCCAGGATTGAGGGAATATACAAATCTGCTCTCCTAATTATTATATAGACGCAGTTAATTACAAGGTTTTTTCCCTAATTGAAATTATTCTGCTGTCACTTCACATATGAGGATTTAGCAAGGAAGAGCAGAAATAATAGAACCACAGTAATGACTTGTAACGAATTCTGCCAGCTGTACAATGCTGCACACAGAATCTATTCCCAAATCTTCAAAACTCCCTACCAAAGGGTGAAATCCAGTTATTTTCATCTTGACGTGTATCACACCATACAGCTCTTCTCAAATTTCAGGCTGTGTACTTCAAACTTTGACTTATCACAGACTTATTTGCTACTGTTCTCACTGATAAATTTTTTCTTCCTGTAACTACATAATGGTAAAGCTACCTACTATCATACCTTCCTTAAATGGATAAAAAGCAGATCTCTTTAGAGCAATAAACAACCCTTGGTTTTGTATTCTCTTATTTATTGTACACAAGATTAGCCATGGACTGCTACTGATTTTTGATGCCACCAAGTACAATTCCGTGAATGTTGCCTCCACTTTCAAATGTAGCTGCCTAACATTCAGCATTTTAATACCATGTTCATATATATAAACCATACTTTTCAGTGATGCTGAGTACCTAAAATTCAGCCATGTACATAATAAGAGGGCCTAGCTTTATGTAGTTAAACTGAAGGAAAAAAAAAACCACAAATGAACAAAATTCTCAGTGATTAGTGCCAGCAAATGAAAAATAGAACCATCGTACTACCTCTTCCCCTTTAATTACACAATTGTCTCTGATTTCCATCGAGCTCCTGCAAGAAGTATAACCTGTAAAAATATTTGTGACATAAGAAAATGAAATACTACAGATTTGAAAAATTGTATTGATCCATATGTATACTTCTTGACACACCTAAGAGTATGGGAATTTTTATCCCAGTTCTTGAGCTATCAGATCAAACAGCTTCCCTGACAAATGTTTGTTATTCGTTTTACACTCCAAACAATCAATATATAAATCAGCAGTGGTCCTTCCCAAAACCACTTTTTGCATAATTCACCTCCCTTACAAGTAGTGAATCATCACAGATGTTTCCTAATATTGTTTGTTTATTCAGTCATGTTATAATAGCACCTAATGATACCAACTGAAGTTGGTGCTTCACAGAGCAAATGTCCCTGTCCCAAAGATCTCACAGTCTTAGGAGCTTATAATCAAAACCTCAAACTCTTTTAATATGGTTAGTGGGCAGAAGAGCAAGCTGATAGAAAAAAACTCCATGGCAGACTGTATACTAAACACAACTTAGTCATTCTGAAAAGCTTACATAAAGGCATTACAGCATGAAATGAGCTTGTCGCTCCTCTGTCTGCAAAGGTTCCACAGAAGTGCTCACAGAGCCAGAGTTCCACGTCTGATTTGCTTATCTGCTACCATCACAGGGAGAAAACTATTTCTTATCACAGCGATACCAACAACTTTAAGTGAGGCCACACACAGACACTGATGTTTAGCTGTTTAGACAAGCATTTTTCCTCAATCAGCCATTCTTCATCCTTCCAGGAAAAACAGGCAGCTGGACCTTTCACTTTTTTCCAAATATTATTTTGGACTAGTTTGCATAATGCTATTACTATTAACACAGCAGCTTGAAAGCACCTGCTATTGAGTAGCATTTAAATTTCCAGCCAGGATGAAATTGAAAAAAGAATAAATAACAGAGAAAGTTCCAATGAGATACTAGTAGGGATGAGAAAGTGATTGCTCCATAGATGATTACTAAAACCACAAAATACCTAGGGAATGATGGGTTAAGGAGTCTGTAGAGAATGGATAATTGGCTTGCATGGGCAGAGTAAACATCATACTTAATACATCTCTGTATCTGCACCCTTTTTCTCCTTCCCTGCCCGCCAGCCCCAAGCCTTTAAGGACATGGAGCTATCAGTAACAAATAGCTAAAGCTCCAGAAATGGTTTTGGATACTTCATGATAAACCATCCTAGGAAAAAGTTACCGCATGTAACTTAAAGGCCTTTTAAGTGCATCATCTGGCCATACAGCCACATCGTATCATGGTAACTTCAATCCTCCTTATTTACATGGCCCCTGCTGTTTGTCACATTGCAAGTTGTGCGTTGTATTTAGAATTAAAAAAAAAAAAAAGGAAACAAAACAAAACAAAAACTTCAAGGCAAATATTTCTACCTGTTTGCTAAAATGATTCCTGATGTTTTGTGTATGGACAAACTGCAAACTATGAAGAAATCAGGAGCAAAATTATAAAGGATTACACACGAAACACTTAGATCAATGACAGATTAAAAGAATCATTTGAACAGAAAAATCACAAACACAGCTCCAGAGTGAAAGTCACTGATTGGCGTGATACAAGACTAGACAGTAAAAGAGTGAAACAGTAAATGAAATCAACAGATGCAACTGTGGAATTTCCTTTGCTTGAGGAGTTAAAAACCACAATGCATGACAAAGACTGTTAACGCGGAGCGTGCAGCAGTAGATGGACTAACCCTTTACAAGTTTTCCAAATATACAGGAGAAAGCATAACGAGAAATGCTAACATGACTTTATTTGGGCTTGTACACTAAGTACTCGGAGTGCAAGTTTACTTTTATTAATCTAGTAAATTGTGGCAATTAATTAGAGATCAATTCCCTTTAAGTATAATATAGAGTACTGGCAGAGTAATAGCAAACATAGCGCATGTCAATGCAGTGCTGTAAATAGAATTTCTCTTGATTTGTGTTTCCAGTCTCCGCTCGGTATCACACAACTCTAAAATCACATCTCTCACGGCAGAAGCCTGGCCCTTACCCTCTGCTGACGACCTTGGCATCGCTCTTTCCATAGGTCTAGAATGGACTGCAAGTTTAACACTCTGCACCTCAGAGATCATTTGCGCTATACTTTCCTGCAGACTATTAAACTGCTGCTGTAAACTCCCTAGACATGAACTGACTTGTTTAGTGTAGTTTAGCTGTTCATTTAAAGGAATTAAAAGAGAATCTATTTTTATAGAGTCATTCCTCTCTTCTCTAGTTAACAAAGCACCTTCCTTTATTTCCTGTGATGTCCTCGTTTGCAGCACATTTTTCAGGTCTGCTATGACATCACTGAGATCCTTCTGCTGTAAGTAATGACTGGAGGCCTGTTCTTTGATGGCTTCTTGCAGATTTATTGGGCCCTTCTGTGCTTCAAGCACCAAGACTTTTAATTCTTGCAGCCTTACTCGATTAACATAGGTGGAACCAAGAACACCTATAATGGCTCCCAGAACAGAACCAATAATAGACCAGTTCTTCGTTTTTTCAGCTCTTGTTCGCTCTTTCTCATGGCTTTCCCTTACAGCTGCAGAGAAGAGAGAGAATTTTTCTCTCTCAGATTCTTCTGCATTTAAATACGCAGCTCGGTACCTCTTCTCTTCCTGCAAGAAACACAGTGATTTGGAGGAGAAGGTATAATGTGAAACTACAAAGTCTATACTAAAAAAAAAACCAACCCACCCCCCAAAAAACCCAGTGCAGATGAAGGAATGAAAATGAAGAAAATCCATTAGTTCTGTTACAGAAATTTTCCTTTTAATGTGGGATTTTCTTTATTAATCCTACTTAAGTCAATGAGACATCATTTTAAGTTAAACCTGAGAAATGGAAAAGGTCATCAAGAATTACAGCTGAAGATCCTCTACACAAGAATCTGTCACATGCTGATGATAGAAAAGGGGTACGAGCAGGGAAAGTCTCTCCCCATAATGTTCACTTTTTCAGCCCTGCTTACTTCTCCAAACACTACTTTTACCATGCTTCTTCCCTTCAGTTCTAAACCATTTGAATGGAAACTCAAAGTAGGACTGGAAAGGATGTCTCGGATAGGTTGATCTCATGAACATACACACTTCTTATTCCTCTGCCTTCTCTTTCTTACCCTGCTCACAGACAAATGTCTTCACTTTCTCCCTTCTCATTGACTTCAGCATGGCAGTTCTCATTGTAAGCCGTTTTATCTCAGAAAAATAGTGGAAGGTTTTCTGGTTGTTTTCCTGCAGTAAAATTCCACTGTTTTAGCAAAGTAATTGCTGCTTTTGGTAGTGGTGAGCATGTCTGTCAACTAACTGCACCTCCCAGAATTATTCTTTCTTCTGAGTGTGTGTTTCTTTTGTAAGATGGCACCACCAGCTTACGGACAGCAGTGACTTGAGTTCTGCCTTTCTTCACAGTTATGCAGAGCTCTATTCTAAGTTTCATCCACACAGACCTGGTCCCTTATTTAGACAACTACAGCTCTCTAGTTTTTTCCTGATGTAGGAGCTCAATTTAAGTTCAGGTATGGGTACCCACTCCTTGCCTGAGCTTTGCCAGAGGTGTACCTGTTTCCAGGCCTATTCCTTGCTGTTTCTGAAGTTTCATCTGGATTTCCTGGATTGACTTTGCCTGCTACCTTGTTTTTATCTCTGATTGATGGACTGTTAATGAACACATTCGTGTCACCAGGCCTGTCTGGCTTATCCATCTGAGGTGCTGTAGGACTGCGCCCTGTCGGTGAGGACACTGTCCCAGCCTGCACTGTGGTCAACCTCATCTTCTTGCTCGCCCTCCCTCAGGAAACAGCCTTGCTCTTGTTGCTCTCTGACAAAAGCTTTAATGAATTGCCTGGGTGTTGCAGCCACATAGAAGGCATCTGAGAGAGTTTTCATGGATTAACAACCAGAAAGGAGCTTCTCTCATCACATGGAAGGTTAATTAACTGAATCCCAGCTTTTTGTTGGCTAATCATCTACAGGTCACCACTCAACTTTCTAGGCTCACTATCTTCAGCTTTCTTCTCCAAATTTACTGTCCTACTTTAGTATTAACATAGAAAATTTGCATAGGAGATCAAATAATCTATAACAATTAACTAAAACAAGTATCATCAGAAATTGACTTCAGAACTGAGCAGCATCTGCAAAAACAGTCACAGAAGCAAAGCACACAAATTTTCATTGTATTTGCCAGTGCTCAAGTAGCAACAAATTACCTGCAGCAACCTGTGTTCCAGAGTAGCCAGTTCTAAATACTGGGTGTCATCCCGAGAGACCCTGTCTAAGCGGTCCCGAATTTCCTTCAGTTTAATCTGCTGGGCTTCTACATTTTCACGAGCCTCTCGTACTATCCCTCGAGCTACCATAAAGACATTTTCAGCCTGAGAAGAAAGAGTATTTATTTTAGACAGTTATTACCAGACAGATCTAAATCACTAATTATATTAATTTCTTTGGGACAAAACCCCAACAAAACAAACCACACTCCATTTCAACTAAGGGATAAGCTATATTTACTAACATGCATAGACTAGAACACTACAGCATCTACACAAACAGTTAAAGTAGTAAAAAGACACAATTCTCCTTGGAGGTTCTTTTTTTGGCCTCACAGCTAGTGTTTATACTTCATATAGCTTAACTCAGGATTTTTAAATTTCCACGTTATCTCTATGTTTACCTCTGTCACTTTTCCCTGAGCCTCTCGAACTTCGTTAATTCCAACAAACTCTTCATATCTGTCCCACCAACTCTTGCATGTTGCAGACATTTTTTGAAGAGAGTTTTTTCCCATAATGGTCCCAGCTTCTGTCACCCGATTAAGAAGACCCATGGCCATCTCTGTCGCAGACTTTGCTTCAGGCCTCTTAGGTGATGAGCAGTAAGTTCGCACGATGTGTAAATTCATTTTTGGACTCCACTTTATCAAAGAATGCTGATATTGCAGACCACAGGACACCGAGGACACACTCGACTTATATTTCATTGGCCCCATGTCTTGAATTTAATCACTGAATAAAAGTGCTACAAGGATGAAGAAGAAAAAGAAAAGTTATTGAAGTATGGCTGACTAATACCTCTTAAAACTACACATGTGTACGAAAACCAATGAAATTCAAGAATGGCTAAACCATCACTAGTTTTACAACAGTACTTACCCAGAGAACTTTCCACAATTTTCAACAAAGCACAGTTCTGCCACAGATCCCTGCTTTTCTGCTGTTAGCAGGTACTCCCACCATGCTTCTTGACTACTAATTCACTCACTGCAGGGATACTGATCATGTGCAGATCCCGTACCAACAGAAGTAGCTTCAGAGTAATTTAATACTTCAGCACAAAAGTGATTGCCATATGAAATTTTGCCTTGTGTTTTCACACTCGAGTTTGGTGTACCACATCACAGGTACTAACAATTCTGCAAAAGAACAGAAAAGGAAAAAAGACAGAGAGGGGAAAAAATCTTGATAAGAAAAGAAGTAAGGCTTGATCATTCCCTTGATCTTACACTTCACAGATATGCAAAGTATAGAAGAACACAAAGACAAAAACATAAAAGGCAGAGAGAAAACACAGAAGTGCTGAACTGAACACAACAAATATTTTCGTGAGACTGCCTACAAAGGTAAAACATAAGGAAGAGCCTTAAGATCACAAAAATATCAGGTAGTGAATGCACAGCTAGGGCTGCATTTTAAAATTATCTTAAAATTCTTGCTTGCACTGCAAAAGCAGACTGCTAGTTATGGTTTAGTGTCTCTGATTTGTAAATAAGATCTTAATTTTCTACTGAGTGCTTTCCTCTAAATAGTGTAAACAGGAAAACTTTCAAATAAGGTTTTATATGAAGTTTGAATATCACTATATTTGGGTTCGACTAACATAAAAATATGGATTACTGAGAAAGCTTGATAGTTGCTGCTTTCTAAAAATAGTTTTCCATGGTAGTTTTAGGTGGCTAATGACATCACATACGTGCAAATACAGGTATCTACTACTGGAAGACATTTTTAATCAGCTGGCTACTGATTCTGAAAGCCACAGGCTCATTGCCTGTTATGCATATTCTAACAAATAGTAATAACACCAAAGAGCACTGTGAAAATCTTACCAGTTGGTTTATATGCATAATAATACAGTAGATCAAAACCACAAAAGCATGGAAATGAAGTAACTTCCCTCTCCTTCCAGCCTCATTCATATGCTTTACCGTTACAACACCTACTCTACATTGCGGGCCTTCTAGACTGCAAGATTTCCCTCTTTTAATTGCACTACTACATGAAGACTTTTACCAAATAATCAGGCTATTAAGGCAGTATAGCAAAAAGAGAGAGAAAGTAAAAATCTTTAGGTGAATTTCTATGTATATAGTTGCAAATAGACTGCAATGAAAGTTATCTCAGTCTGAGCTACTGAGACCTGAGATGATTATGAAAGCTTCATCTGAGATAACATGCCTCCTGCCTCTCTTGCTTCCCTTGTAAGACAATGAGTTTCCTCTGCCTGTAGTCATTGACAAATATTCTTTCAAAAGGTTTACACCGCAGTTGCTACACACACTGGACATTGGTGGCGAGTAAGGCTAGCTTTTATGGCTCCTATCTTATTTTGTAGCGGCCTTTTTTGTCACTGCTAAAACGTAAAAACAGAATTTCTGACACGCCACAGCTCTACTTCTCACGCCTGAAAGGAGAGAAAGACTGTTTCTTCCACAAGACCGACCCCTCCTCTGCCGGAGGGGGCCCTTCCACCGCACGAAGGGCTACCAGCCTGCGCCGCCGGCACCCTGCCGACCAGCGCGGCCAGCAACCACGCACTTCTCGCCTCAGCCGCA